AAGTAAGTTCGTGGTCCTTTTGCATCTGTTCAACAACCGACGAGTGATCGCTGAGCGGCGGATTGAGTATTCGTACAAAGTGATAAATGCGCAGGATGTTGGTGAGTAAGTAAGAAGGAAAGACCGTAGGGCGAAAGGTGGACAGAAAGGTGACGACGAATTAACAAGGTAAGTGGTGATGCTTCGCAGTCAGGCAAGGTGCATATGCAGGACTGAAGATGCGTAATTTCAGGGGTTTACCGGCATTGGACGAATCGGTGAGCCGAAAACTTCGAGGCACTTGGGCGGTTCAATAATTTGAAATCCAACAGAGCAAGCGAACGTGAGAAAGCGGGAAAAAAAAGGGGAGAAGATGAGTTGTTGTCGTTGCTGCGTTGTCCGGCGACCTGGCGGGCTTGATGGTGTTGGTGGTCAACAATGAATCGAAAAGATTGGGTACAAGTGCAAAAAGATGGACGAAGACTGGCTATAGCCTAGAACAGGCCGCAGTATCCCGTGGTCTCTGGTGGGATGACTGACAGCCTTTTTCTTCTTTTGTGGGCGAAAACGAGAAGCGAAACAAAAAGGTGAGAGGGTTGTGATAACGTCGAGGATAGGAGGAACGGCTCGAAGCCTCACTCCTGGGGAGCGCGACGTGTCGAGCCGTGACTTGAAAAGCGGTTTTGGGAAGCCAGAATCTGGTCTAGTTGGGTTTGGGCTTTCGTTGGTGGCGCCCAAAATTCAGGGACCACCCATTGCCATCCACCGCCCATCGGGAGCCAATTGCTACCTGGATTGCCCAAACGGTCGTCGGAACTTTTAGGCTGTGGATGGCGGTGGGGGTTTTCACAGGCTTACCTGGGTGACCTCAAACTTGGGCTTTGCTGTCCCTCCAGCCAAACACCAATGAGAGCCACTCCGTCCTGCGACTGATCCACGCCGCAGGTCCCAGTCTCCCAAACCTTGGATTCTAGCTCAGCGCCCAGCCCGCTTGTTCAGGTTAGGATCGTAAGCTATGTCTCGATTCCGCCAGTCCCCATTTGCTTGAATTGGGGGGAAGCACTTGCCCGTGGCTGCCCGTGTCACCTCGTGAGTCTCGAGTCAAGCGGGTAAGAAACTGCACCTCCTATCAGATCAGTGCCACGCGAGACATGAAGAAGTCGATCAAGGCCACGCAAGCAGCCAAGCCCAACCTGTACAAGACCACATGGTGCATGAGATTTTTGAAGATGGCCTACCAAGTGAGTGTATGTGGGCAACATATTGACACTTTTTTCTTCTCTGGCATCACACAACCCAGTCTACCTCGTACTCCTGGGGGTAAAAGCAATGCAAGTGAGTACCGATGCTGCAAGCCACAATAGGTGCCGTCACATTTGACTTCGGTGCAGGGGCCCGTTAAATGTTAGAGTAACACGCTCGTGCCAGGCAGGCAGGATAGCGACTGCATAGTCACTCTGGTGGGGGCTTTGATGATCGTTTAAGATTGACTGGATACTCTCCTTGTCGCAGATTAGTCCGAGATTTACCATGTCTCCAACCAGTCTCGATCACTTTAGGGGAAATCTCACGCTGGCTGGCGGAGTCATGCTCCAACTTCTTATATACTCCGACATCCTCATGGGTTCATGCATCCGCCCTGGATTTGTGTCTCCTTGCTTCAATTAGAATATCCAAGAAGTCTTACAATCGGGCCTGGTTTTGTATGCTGCCGGCTAATTGCATAGGACCTGTTCACCCTAATCTCTCCTTTTGATGCTCGTACGCCTGGTTGTGACAAGAAATGTTCCTTTCCAACTGTTGGCTGGGCTGAATCGCAGCCTCGCCGCCGATGCGCCATTCCGCAAATGGACTCACATGCATGACTGACTGACTGTGACTACTGACTTCCCGAGCACAGTGACCTCGTCCACGCACCGTCAAGTCATGACGTAACTAATGAAACAACCGGTGCCACAAAAGAAACACGCCGCATGTAACTTTAGAACGGTGCTTGCCTCAGGAGATGAGCAGAGGTACAACGGGGATGTTGCTGTCCTGATTTCAACCGCTCCGAACTTCTTTCCTAGCTGCGAAAACCACATCAAATATTTTGTTCCAAGATGATGCTTCAAAAGTCATAACGATATGATTTAGTCAGCAGCATATCAAGATCACCATAAATGGTAATTTGAAGGATGTGATCAACATGGCTGCCGACGACCTTGAAGCATCAGGACTACAGCTCTGGAGAAACCATCGGTGGTGGGGGTTAAGCTGAACCATTTTGTTCCCGGGTCAGATGTGGCACTGCCGCCCTCATTGCGACTTCCAACCCGCCGAGCATATGTCCCATTTCCCGAGGCCGACCAAGTGGGTAGCGGAAGGAAGATCGTCGAGACCTTGGTCCGCCCAAGTATGATGAGGAAGATATTGCGCATATGAGGATTGTCCCGGGCGGAGGGGAAGGCCAAGCGCGACCCCGACTACAAAGGCTTTCTGTAGTCTGAGAAATTAGGGCCACGATGCGAAGAGGTTGTGCTGTCCGCGGCTATCACAGACAAAAGGATCTTCTCATTGCTGCTAGATCTGGAGCCAGCAGAATTTGCCCCGGACCCACGATCGACCCATTTCATGCGTCTGGTGGAAAGATGAAATCTTTCACAATCGTAGAACCCGCGTATTCTGGATTGAGCATGACACAGTTGAGGAAATACGCCAATCCTTCGCGTCTTTTCTCGAGGAATTTAGGCCGGAACTTGTAAATGGCGCTCTTGGGAGGAAGAGGCGGAAGCGACGACCTGGTTGACTGAGGATAGGCTTTGACCAACTTGGCTCGAAGCTCATCGAACTCGGAATATCGCTTTCGAATTGTCATGGGGCCTCCATCAAGCGTCTGAACATTAACATTGTATACCACGTAGGCGCCCACTCCGGTAGGATTCCCTTGGACGATAACATATTCATCAATAGAGATTGATTTTGCCCAGAGCGCCGCCCTGCTAGGTTCTCGGGATAAGGTATGATCCTCGAGAGAGATGGGGGGAGGTCGAATGATGGTCAGCTCATCAGAGGATGGCTCTCTATTAGGTTGCCAGTAGGGTGGAGGGGTAGACGAGCCTTGAAGCCAGTCGCCAGACGGTTCAGCGCCGGGCGCAGCTACGGATTCTCGTTTCGGTTGATCTGAAACCAATGTGGCGATTGGGACGGAACGAGAGTTCTCCATGCATGTGCGCAGTCGCAGACCCGATCTACGGTGTTTCCAAAGGGGGACACTGCCGGAGAGTTTTTAGTGTGGCTAGGTGTGGTCAATGATCTGGACAGAGATCCCCCGCCTCCAGGAAGGATTTGTGTGATGCAAGTAAGGTGACGAACTCTGCAAATGTTTCAGAGCAAAAAATGAAGGATTGAAAAAAAGGTTGCAAAAGCCCGAAAAACCCGCAGCTAGAAAGATGGCACCAATGCAGGTGACTGTATTGAGCAAAGCGCCAGGTGAGGCGCCATTCTTTGATGTTGTCCACTAGCTATCTTGGGGTACAGCAAGGGAATAATACGAGTCGGAAGGAAAGTGGAATGGCCAAGAGCAGCATTGATCTGAGTGTTGATCTCTTTATTTCCCGTGGAAGTTGATCAAAATGACAAACACTGGCACCTCGATGATACAATTAGCGGAAGGATAGATGGGATTTACTACCAAATACCAATACCGAAGACGGAGTCCTCTAGAAGGTTGGTATCTGGGTAGCCACCGCCGAGAGCGCATCAACGAACGCCTCTCTGGAACTCTGGACTTGGGCCAAGGGCACCAAATGCACCAAGGGCAAACAAGGGTGTGGAGATCATGCGCGTTCTATCATCTTAAGAGGTGAGTCTAACCTCCAAGTAGAAGCACCTACAGAGGCCACTGGGGTCGCTAGTTATAGGGCTCTTGGGTGTCATTGGCGCTGGAACTGCGCGCCGTGGAGCCCCCGGAATTCGGGCTCCAGCTACTATTGGGCATCATGCACCTTTGCCCTCGACAAAGTGTTTGACAACTCCGCAAAACACCACGGACTTTCTGTCAACGCCTGAGACAAGTCAACCTCCTTCTGCACGTATGTGTGCCACAGTCATGCACTTGAGACTTTTGTTGCTGGGGCACATACTACAGAGAAGATCCCTGTGATGGGCTAGAATCTCTTAGCCTCTGGAGAACGATGCTGGGGACATTCTCAGTGGCGGGAAGTGAGCCTGCCCCCCAACCCGACCAAGTGGCTTCAACACCAACCCAAACCGGTGATGGTGATGGTTGGATAGTGGCATACCACTCTCGCCAGAACCCTTGCCTCCTCCGCCCTTTTTTATGGGCATGTCTGCTGCTCGCTACTACTACTGCTGTTTCTGCTGCTCGCTCTCTTCACTTCTTCCTTCAAGTAACAAACCTCATTTTCTCTCGTTCTTCAAGGTAACCAACAATATTTTTCTGCTGCATTCATTATCTCTTCCACTTTCTTTCCCACGTCCTCCAGCACCTAATAACAACCAAACTCGCCTTGATACGGTGATTCTTTTGCCAGAGATTCAAAAGCAGCTCTCTTAATCAATATGCAATACTTCCTTGTCACCGCTGCCCTTGCTGCTCTGGCCCGGTTGGCCATCACACAGACCATTGACCCCAACTCAGTACCTCTATCAACAAGACGTGAGTCTTTGGTCTCACTGCCACTTGAATGTTGCTGATGGTCGTGTGAACAGAATCGTGGTGCAACTCACAGATAGCTCAATGTCCTCTGATTTGTCTGCAAGAGGCCGACAATTCTGCAGCCACCTACGACAATTCCTGTGACCCTGTTGCCCTCACTTATTCTTGCATATGCTCCAACGGACTCTCTCCCAACGCCTCCGAATACTCCCAAACCCTCCCCTATTATATCTGCACAGAGTACAACACCCAATGTCAACAGGCTTGCGGTACCGACAATAGCTGTGCAGCAGCATGCGTACAAAATCATCCGTGTGGAGCACTCAACCCAACAAGAGTAAATACAAGCACAATCACAACAATGCCTTCCACCACAACAGCCGTGGGGTTTGCGGCTTCTACTGCCTCTGACGGGGTTGTATACACTGGCTTTGGAGGTGGCTCGTCTGCTACAACAACTGCTGCTTCAGATGGAAACAGCGGATCTGGTAGCTCTGCTGCATCAAGGCTGGTGGTCGACATTGGACAGGTCTATGGTCTTGGTGTCGTTGCAGCTGGCATCTTTGTCGGCTTCAGCTGCATGCTCTGATACATCTTCAAAGAAAGAGACTTTTACGCTAGTGAAGGTTGGAAAACGATCTGCCTGGATACCCGGACCCAGGCCGGTGCAGTCGGAAATTTTGGTCGAAAAGTCAGTTGTGAAGCATTTTTGGCAGAGGCGCTGGTATGGATGCTTTTTAATGGCATTGACGGCATTAGCGCCACCCTTCGGGGAAAGCAAGAGCGTTGTAAGGAAAGAGAGGGCATCATGGGCATACCTCGAACAATCTAATATTAATCATGATTGAAGACTCGGGTTAGTGTATTTGTATCGTCGTAAGATTTTGTCCTCTGTTGCCCCGTCAACCGCGCCAGACTGCCGAAGTTTTGCCGGCATTTGGCGTTTGTAGCTTCAATCCACAACTGCGGCGCGTCTTCGCAGCCAAATAAAGTCCTTCGAACAATAGTGTCATCGACCATGAGCACACCCAACAATATCAATACGCAACGATAGTGCTCTTTATGGCTGCCTATATCTCACCATCTCCAGCGTTACTGGTTTCCTCGTCCAGCAATTCTCGTCGACCGCAACGACCTGCAACGCGACCCTTAACAGCCCGTGCTCATCAAGGTCCAACTGTAGCACCCTATGCTAAGCAACAATTCGACCAAAGTATTACGGGAGACAGCTCGGACGATGAAGATCTTGCGCCCATTAAACTAAGCGCTGAGGCGCAAGCTATTTTAGGTGAAGACAATGAGCAATTGGGAGCCGAGAAGGAGAACGTACAACCAGATCGACACAATGTGAAGTCGTCTGGCGCAGGTTACTCTAGGAGAAGAAGCAGAGGAACGCCACTGGAAATTTTGAGATCCTCAAGTCCACCTCATCACAGAGACGGCAGTCCTGCCCCTCGAAACATTCCTGTTAGCTCCGCGTCTCGCCCTGTGCAGCCCGGAGTCTTGGGAAGAGATGGATCGTTCATGTACAAAATCCATGACAAGTCGTCAGCAGGTGATCGTGCTGTACGCCACATTTCAGAAACGCCGGCACCTAGAGTCCGGCGTATCCGTATCAGTGATGCCAGGCGGCTATCGAGATCTCCTCCATCAGGTGAGGCGGACAAGGGCGAACAAGTCGAGCAGGCTCCCGAAACTTCAAAAAGGTCAATCAGCCCAAGATCTAGCGTCATTCGCGGACACTTCGATGAGCAGAATGCTGCCGTCCCGTCGACAATCAGCCGATCTCGAAAACCGGACGAAAATGGTGCTCAAAGTACCATGCGAGTTCGACGAATCGGAGGCGCGTTACTGAACAGACCTGTAAGAAGAGGCATGGTGCGTCGTCCCAGCGAAGACGAGGATGTTCATATGGAAGGCCAAGATCAACCACGCCCTGATACTCCTGAGATGGAAATGGGTCGACGAGCCAAAGAGCCCGAGTTACAAGATTTTCCCGACGATTTGCTTGCGCTGAGGGCAAGTCCTGAAGGGCCAGCTGAACATTCCCTACGAAGCCCTTCTCCCAAAAAGATAGAGCCCGTTGTATCACGAGTTACTTCGCCGTCCCAACCGGGATCGACTCACCAAGCCAACCCTACACCTGCTGTGCGTCATTCTCACTCCTTGTCCAGATCATCAAGCTCCCAGAAAAGACCTGTTTTCAAAATCCCACCTTTGCCAGCCCTTCCGTTGACGGAAGACCAGGAGAATGAGCCTCCTCCAACCTTTCGAAGGAGCAAACCATCGGCGGCAATCTTGGATTTTCAAGAAGACGGTGCTCCACTGGAGAAAAAACAGGTTGCTCCTGGGTCAGGGCACGCTTCTCCATCTCGTCAGCCTCTCGCTCCACGGTCTAATAACACACCTCACAGACCTGCACCAGCCCCACCGCCAAAAATGTCGATTCTTGATGCAGCGACGTCGAATGCGGGTTCTCGCAACAAGAAATCCGTCCACTACGTGCTGAACGGAAAGACCTATCGGCGGCTCGATTGCATAGGCAGGGGTGGTTCGTCAAGAGTTTTCCGCATCATGGCAGAGAATTACAAGATTTTCGCCCTCAAACGGGTGAATCTCGAGGAAGCCGACATGGCTGCAATCGTAGGCTACAAGGGCGAAATTGACCTCTTGAAAAAACTCGAAAACGTGGATCGTGTTATCAGACTTTACGACTACGAGATCAACGAAGAAAAAGGGGTGCTCAGTGTCATGATGGAGCTGGGCGAGACCGACTTTAACAAAATGCTGAATGAGCAACTGAAGACCGAGAATGCCAAACTGGATATTACTTTCACCAGGCACTATTGGAAAGAAATGCTGGAATGCGTCCAGGCGGTGCACGATTACGACATTGTTCATTCAGACCTTAAGCCCGCCAACTTCCTTCTCGTCAAGGGTCAACTCAAGTTGATTGATTTTGGCATTGCTAATGCTATCCAAGAAAACACAGTCAACGTGCATCGAGAAAATCAAATCGGCACGCCTAATTATATGTCCCCAGAATCCCTGGTTTGTCATACGCCCGCTGCGGGTTCACAGCAACCCCCGGGCACGAAACTACTCAAACTCGGCAAGCCCAGTGATGTTTGGAGTCTGGGTTGTATCCTTTATCAAATGACCTACGGCCAGCCCCCGTTCGCCCATATCCAGAAGCAGTTCGAGCGCATCATGTCCATCCCCAACCCGAAGGTCGAGATTTCATTCCCGTCCACAGGGATTGGTGGGTCTGTGGTTCCCTTTGGGCTGATCAAGACCCTGAAACGGTGCCTCACGCGCGAACAATCTCTGAGGCCCACGATCAAGGAGCTCTTATCTGAAACAGACCCGTTCTTGAACCCTGTCGCCATTTCCCCGGAGATGTTGGGCAGGGTGATCGGGAATGTCGTGGGCTATTGTCGACGAAGAGAGGAGGCGTTGAAAGCCAAGGGCGAGATTGTGTGCAAAGAAGGAGAGGAAGTCAGTTGTCTGCCGAGTGACCAGGAGATGGTTGGCTGGCCTGGAGCGTTTTATGAGAAGTTGCGGCAGGCGAATTTGGAGGGAACAGCATGGTAGTAGTTTGTATTGAATGATAATGCAGGGGCAGGGGGCATGATGAGTTGATACAAGAGGCAGTGTTGGATATTTGGCCGCATTGATCGTGGTCAAGGGTTCTGGCAGCTTTGGGAATTCGACTGGTTATACTGTTTGGGATGGATTCCTGAGGACGTTTGAAACTTTTGAACTTTGACTATTGAGTTTCTGAGGCTCGAAAAGCTCCATCCTTTCTCACTCCTGTTCTTGCCGCCGTTTTTCTCTGTGCTTGTCTCCGGTCATGCTGTGAAGAGTCTGGTCTGGGATATGCTGGGCACAGCACCCCTTTCCGCGCCGAAAACTGACGAGATATGGCTGTTTAGTCTGGTCTCCAGAATCCCTGCCCTGCCATCTGTCGTCTGGAGATGTACATGTTTATTGGCGAGGGACATTTTCCCAACTTGTCGGCGAGGTAGGTATGCACACCTCGAACGCTAATATACACATACGGAGAAGTAAAGAAATTTCAGAAGTCAAAACGGCGCGAAGCCGTTTTGGAGGTTATTCATTCTGTCTTTTTAGGGGGTTTTCAGTATTTCTGATATCAAAACCTAGAAGACTCCTAAGCTGAACGTCGTTTGGTTTGAATATTCCATACCACCGAAATTTCCGGGGGGGGGGGGGGGGGAGAAATGTGTGCTCATAAACAAGCACCTCAAGCGTCCGGAATCTCGATCTGACTGCTCCGCCTGGCCAACATGACGGACGCGCCGTGATCGAAGCTCCATTTCCGCCGCCTCGCGTTGGCCAGCCGGTAATTCCTCTGCGTGATGCCCATGACTTCGAGGATCGCACTCGCGACGTGGCCCGCAAAGGCTTCGTCGTTGATGTGCAAGTCGTGCTTCTCCACCTCGATCTCGGTGGCCTCGAGGCCCTCTTGGATCGTGTCGAAGAGCGCCTTGTCGGCCTCTTCGTCGAAGAACGGCTGGTTGGCCGCGTCCAGCATGCTTATGCCCTTCTCCGGAATCAGGACACGGATGGTCCCCGGGTTGGTGGCATTGGCGGATAGTTTGTCGACGATAAATTGGCCAATCTTTCTGTTCTCGTCCGGTGTCGTCCTCATCAGCGTGACGGCCGGGTTGTGCACGAACAATTGCCGGTCCTTGTATCTCTCCGGCACGGTGTCCTTGGGCCCAAAGTTGACCATGTCGCAGGCTCCGACGGAGACGATCATGGGAAGACCCTTCTTGGCTGCAATCTCGAGCCGGTCGGGCCCTGCAGTCAAGACGCCGCCAAAGAGCTCATCGGGGATTTCTGTGGTGGTCAGATCAACCACGGCGTCAATCTGCCCTTCCGCAATGAGACGCTCCATGGCGCGGCCGCCGGAGCCAGTTGCGTGGAAGACGTAGATCTCATAGTCGGAAGCGTCGTGGGGCGCCGAGGTGAGGATGTGACGCACCGCGTCGACGCAAGGCGTGGTATTGCCAAACATAGTGATGGCGATACGCTTACCTTTGGCGGTAACGGCAGACGCGTCGACAAGGGATTTGGCATACGATACTGTCATGGCGGAGATGGCAGCAGCGGCATTAGACAAAATGCGCTTGAGGATGGAATTCACTCCTGCAATGTCTACAACACTGTACATCATGGTAATGTCGGTTTCCTCGACGTAGTGCTTGATGTCACCGCTTGCCATGGTCGACACCATGAGCTTGGGGAATCCGACGGGACATGCGAGGCGCATCAAGGCCGTTGCGAGCGACGAACCACTGCTCCCGCCTGCAGAGACAATGCCTTGAACAGCCGATCTCGAGACCAGGTCTTTGGCCACCGGCGTGCATATTTCGATGGCCTTGTCGATGTACTCGCCGCGAGAGAGCTCTTTCAAGGTGGAGCTATGCTGTTCAAGAGGAGAAATGACCTCGCCTGACGCGAGACTGTCCAACGGCGCCCTCAGTTTGGCTGGTATGCTGTGACTAACATTGAGGATCTTGGTGCTGCACGTCCCTTCGGCAAGGATTTGCTCTCTGAGGAAGAGTATTTCGTCAAGTTTGGTGTCAGGTGTACCGACGATGAGGACGGTAGGCTTCACCATGATGGAAGTATACGGAGGAGGCGCTCAGTGTGTCGTCTTTTATAGGCGCAGGAGGGACTTGAGAGGAGTAGAAGCTATCCACCGAGAGACATGATAAGAGGCTTGGGACCGAAGAAGCTTCTGCGAGAGCTGCGAGGTTGTTTTTTGAACAAGAGGCTGCTTGCTCGTAGTACATACATTTACTGGCAATCTCCATCCAATACATGGTCGACATGCCTTCGCCCCTCGTTGCGGGCTTCGGATACCATCACCACCTGCGCCATCATTCGCCAAAAATCCCCGCTTCATCCCCACCGCCTCCGCACGATTGAGATGGTTGGACACAGACCACGACTCTGACTATTATGACGTTGTACGTACGTGTACGTGTACGACGACGAGGACGAACTCGTCCGTATGATCGACCCAAGGAGGCTAACCCCCCACAAGTTGATGAGAGCAAGTTGAACTGATTACAACCAGAATATCAATCACTTCAACCATGGCACCTCCTTCCTCGCGAGCCGAAGTCCTCTCCCATCTCAGGAACCAGATCAAGAATGGCAGGCCAATAGTTGGAGCAGGGGCAGGCATAGGGTTATCGGCCAAGTTCATCGAGGCAGGCGGCGGTGATCTGATCATCATCTACAACTCAGGTCGCTTTCGAATGGCCGGGAGGGGTTCGCTTGCTGGCCTCATGCCGTACGGAGATGCCAACGCCGTCGTCGTCGACATGGCAAGGGAGGTTCTCCCAGTCGTCAACAAAACCGGAGTTCTTGCTGGTGTCTGCGCGTCGGACCCATTTCGCATAATCCCCTCATTCCTTCAAGAACTGAAAAACATGGGATTCTGCGGTGTCCAGAACTTCCCCACCGTCGGTCTCATTGACGGCAGCTTCCGAGCGAATCTCGAGGAAACAGGGATGGGTTTCGACAAGGAGGTCGCCATGATTGCAGAAGCCCGCAAACTTGACCTCCTGACCACGCCATATGCCTTTAATGTCAAAGAAGCTGAGCAAATGACTCAGGCCGGTGCAGACGTGTTGGTGTGCCACATGGGTTTGACGACCTCGGGAAGCATAGGCGCAAAAACTGGGAAGACTCTGGACGAATGTGTCGAGCTGATTCAGGAGATGAGAGATGCTGCGACCAAAATCAACCCCGACATCATCATCCTCTGTCACGGCGGGCCCATCGCTGAACCCAAGGATGCTGGTTATGTGCTCAGTCGTGTCAAGGGAATTCACGGCTTCTATGGTGCAAGTAGCATGGAGAGATTGCCAGTGGAAATCGCCATCACGAACACGACCAAGGAATTCAAAAGTTTGGAGATGAGACAGTAATACAACAGGGGTTTGTATCTCGTTCAGAATCTGGCCCGGCATCAGCCCTGCAACAGCGGCAGCCAGTACGTGAACATCAGAGAAATAATTCGTCGCATAGGTGCAGGGAGCATCCTGGTCTGACCAACGACATTCTGATCTTCACCAAATTGTCTAATAATAACCCAGGTCGCATTACCCTTGCGCGCATGTTTCCCAACATTCAAAATCCTTGACTCGCGTGACTACTGCTCCTTTGTTCACCTTACCTACTTGTATATACTGCTACTCACAAAACTTGCGATAAGATAACGAGCCTGGCTACTAGGCGGGCAGATGATGTGGTCCGCCAGCTCGCACCGTCCGGGGTGGTACCCAAAAATTGAGAAGAGACAGGAGTGGAGGCTTGAGCCTCTCGGAAGGTACAGCAGGGGCCAAGCTGCAATCAGCCTTGTGCCAAGTGCAGAGCTTTGAGGCTGGGATGGAGAAGCAAAGCATCACCATTTTCCTCTTGACCAAGACCAATTACCTTCTGGACGAAGCCTCTTAGTAGTACTTTCTAGTCCAGGTGCTGTAGGCAGGTACAATTTCACTTATATAATAGCCTCAGGACCCCTGAAACTAGCGCCACTATCGCAGCAAAAGTTCGCTTATCAGACCATCTTTGTCCGATAGAGTACCAAGAAACGTTGTCCAACAAGCAAATATGGCCCACCGCAGTCAACGCTCCGTAAATTGGACATGCTACCTACCCACATCGTTCTCTATACTAGAACTCGGAACTCATACCCGATAGCCGGCGCTGAGAATCCTCGAGCAGAAAGCCCCGCGCTCGTGCTATGCCGCTACCTCTGCCTCACCAGCTCGAGGCTTGAATTTCGAGGCAGCAAAATGCTTCAATCGACAAATTCCACGGATCAATCATTTACATATCCAGCGTGGTAACCCAATTATCGTGGATAAATTCCGCCCGATTGCCAAGAGTTGTGCCAAGAAACCTTCTCCCTGTCATTTCCCTTCCCGCCTTCAACTACCTCGTACAAGTACCTCATTTCCTACTCGCGCTATGAATTGTGACAACGGTTCGTGCGCCTATAGAGAGGCCAGCGGCGATCGTCCTTTCAAATTTTAATGCCGTCTTTTCGTTGGCTCTTTACAATGGCTCTTTACAGGGTACCGGCACCATACTCTGAGAGACTACCTACCAGACAGCTGTTTTCTTCGGATTTATCCTTTCAGTGCCCAGCCAGACAAGGCTACTTGGCCCCTAATCACTCTTGGTGACAAGGAATTACCTTTTTCCCTGCAAGCGAATCGCTTTGCACGTGGTATGCTCTTTTGTATAGCCCGTTGCTCTTCCAAGAACGTTGGTGTGAACTTTGAGCATGCTTCAACGAGGCAGATGAAAATTCGGACCAGGTCACCCCCCCTCCTGCCAAACGGACGTATCCGTATTCGGGTTTCTACGAGTGGTTGGGGCGGTATCTACGTGGTAAGAGGTACTCAGTAGAGCGACTAGGTATATTTCATGGAACAGCCACCACCTTCCATGGAACTAAAGTACATTTCTCTTCCAAACCAAGTTTTGGGTGCTTTTTTGTCGCTCTCTACATTCCAGTCGCTCTTTCAAGTCACTCGTTTCGTTGTTTCTAAAACTTCACCATGCTCTTCACCAAAACCCTCGCTTTCTCTTCACTCATACTCTTGGCTGCTGCCCAAGGGGATGCCGTCTTCAAAGGTCTGCCCGACGACGGTCGGACGAGGACGCCAACCTCAACGAGCAAGCTCATGTCGCGGCGCGATCTGAATAAACGCTGCACAGGAACCTGTGAGGAATGCTTCGGCGGTGGTTATACTCTCTGTCCAGGGAGTGCAATCTACTGCTATCTGCCTGGAGATGATACATATGGGCTGGATTCGTGCGACCTCGACAGCTCCGATGACGGGTTATCTACGACTAATACTGCCACCGCACCGGCATCGACCTCAACCAGCCTGAGTGGCCTCGACGATATCTGTTACCAGACCGGTGCGACTTGTGCGTCATGCTTTGGCTCCAGTTATCTCGAGTGCCCGGATGGATATCACTGCTACGATCCGTCGGATCCTTTGTACGATACCTGCCCAGAGGAGAGCACAAGCTCTGGTGGTGGCGGCAGCAGCAGCAGCAGCACCTGCGCCGAAATCTACGGAGAGGGAAATATCCCTTGCGGATCAGATTCATGCTATAACCCGGACGACGGCGAGTCTTGCTGCGCGGGAGGATGTAAGTTGCTGCCCTCGAGATAGTCTTTGTCTTTATGGGGTGCTAACGTTTGGCCTCTATCAGACTACTGTGAAGATGGATACACTTGCTCTAGCACGCTCGGGAAATGCAGTTACGTCGGTAGCAGCTCGTCCTTTGGCACGACGACATCCGACCTCGTCTTTACGACGCCTACCAGCGCCTTGTTCTCCAGCACTCGGAGCACTATTGCGACTACGACCAGCACCGATACTTCGCTAGAAACGGGTGTCAGTCAATTCTCCGAGTCCAACGGTGCAAGTGGTTTCGGGGCCGCTAAGGGTCTCTTGATTGCTGCTGGTGTCGGTGTATTGGTGCTGTAGGACGATGCACGATCTTCCCGTGGAAGGATTAGTGGCGACAAGGTTGGACACAAATCAACGGCCTGACAAACTTGTAATTGAATGAGTCTATTTTGAGATATTTATGAGGGGTTAAATGAGTAAATCAACACATTTGTGAGGATTCTGGAGTGCCATCTGTCTATCGTCTAAGAGTGTCTGTCGTGATGCAAGTCAAAATCCTTCTGTGCCGCCTCGTATCTGTGACTTCCCTCGGATTATCTGTTTTTCCGAAATGGCTGCGCTACTGGATCAGTCACTAAAGTTCATTTTCCCATCTCAATCATGACCTGATTGTTCATCGCTTTCCGACCTGAGTCTTCTTATCTTCTTGCAGAGACTGCTTGCGGTACTCAACATGCCTCACGCTGCCCCCTCGCGCGTTGCGCCCACCGCAACATCCGACCTCGAAGCCGGCGCGGTCCTCAAACTCGGCGAGTTCCAGAACGAAGTCACGCTCAATCTCTCTGAAGCGCGCATCATCCTGCAAAAGACTCTCGCGACGCGGGCGGCTCGAGGCGGTGGCTACGAGGAGACCGAAGTCACTGCAAAGACACGCGACTACTTGGAGATCTTTGCAGTGTTTAAAGATTTGGCCGAGGCGCAACAGGTGGAAGGAATCATCAATTCGTACGGTGAAAACTTGGAGCGATTTGAAAAGTCTCAGTTGGGTAGCTTGGTGCCGACTTGCTCTGATGAAGCAAAGGCGCTGATTCCAAGCTTGGAGAAGAAGGTCGAAGATGGCATCGTATCAGAGGAGGAGTTGGAGGGTATCTGTAGGGAACTGCAGCGGTTGAAGAGACAGGCTCAGCTTTGATTCTACCTGATATTTGAGGGATTACACCAACTTCAAGGTATTACTCGACGGCTCAATCAATCTGCAGGGCCAGCTCACATGACTACTGCATCGCCGCAGTCACCGCTGGCAGGGTTGTACGAATGACGACGCACAGCAATCCCAAAAGCGCAAACGACAACGCTGCACCATAAACACACACGCAAATTCAGGTTCTCCCAGAGATGCTGACGACGCATGAAAGAAATGTTGGCAGAGTCATACCAATATTGCGCCATGAGTCGAGCGATACGTGGCAGCTGCGGTCTCACGCTGGCCGCCACAGCGACCTGTCTCGGGGATTTCACAGGATACCTGGGCTTTGGAGGATTTGCTATTCTCGAAACACAAATTGTCTGAGCTATTCCCACCAACGCAGAGATCACAGTCGGACAATCGGTGGAGACTTCCAGGTGTGCCCAAACGCTCCGGCTCACCATACTTGGACGATGCGTTTGGATAGGAAACAAAGGAGCGCTATCGCGTGCTGCAGTGAAGAGGAGCAATGGTCAATGGCCGTGAAGTCTTTACTGAGCAATACCCAACATTTCTCCTGTGTTTCCTCCAACTCATCGTGTTCTTATATTAAATCACCTTGTCCGTCTCTCGCCATCCAGCAACTCCGACTTCACCCAGCTTCGTTGAAACTTCCCAGACGCAAATATCTATAGCGCGGTGACATCTAAAATTACGGATTCAATCTTCATCGGTGGCTTCGAGTAGCTTCATGGAACCCCTCGCATCTCGGTTCTCGATGAGCTTTTATCGATCGTCCGAAGGTTCGCAATCAGATACAGAATCTATGTCTGCAACTGCAAATCACCCAAGCTGCACGTCCCTGACCTCTGTCTCTGCAACAACTCAAGCGGCTGGGACACCACTGACGCCACCTCTGTCTCTGAAGACGAAGAGTTCGCAGTCCTCGATATCCACCTACAGTTCTGAATCTTCCTGGAAATCGCTGTCGACAATCCACCCAGGCTGGAATGAACCTCCTAGGCTGTTTCGCTTGAGCGACTCGTTACCCTCGAGATGTTCAAGACATGATCCACCCTCGAACCCCCCCTTACGTGACACACCAAAAGCTGAACGCAGCTTGAGGACCTCAATCTCTTCCGACTCGTTGTGGCGGTCACGGTCTAGCATGCGTGCTTCCTGGAACGAGCCTTACAGACCACCTCAACCACTCCCGTCCTCCAGTGCGATTCACTCGGCACCTGCCAGGCAGGCATCGCGACAGGAGGGTGAATGGGAGCCGCTCATCCCTCCAACGTCAGTAACGCTGTTGACATTCGACGATTCTTGGCTCTGTTGGAACCCATACCCGATATGTGAGCGGTTGGCAATCGTGACCACCACGTGGATCGAATCGTGTTTTGAGGTCGCCGGGTCAAGAGGACAGACTACCCCTCCATCCTTGCATTTCGATGCACGAGACGAGAAGAAATGAGAAACGTTACAGATTGATTGTTCGATCGGGTCATTTTTTTCCCTTTTGAATTCTCGTCCCCTTGTCTGTCGCAAGTACCCAAAATCCTTCCAGAAACTGATATTCAGTGCCTTTCTCTCCCTCTCTCCCTCTATCTTTGTCCTGGTGTTTTCTCGTCCGCATTTGTTTGACTGTCCCTGTGGCCACCTCCTCTCTCTCCCCTCTCTCGTAACCCAGCCTTTCGTTTGCTTGCCACCCACTGTCACGGCTGCCCTCTTGTTGGAAGTCACCTACAAATACACCCAACCTCTTATGTTCCAGACTTTTTGTCACTGTGACCAGTGATCTCTCACCAGATGTGTCGAGGTGTCGGTATGTCGATACGTCGACGTGTGACGATTGCCCGTGGTGACGGCAGGACAGTCCATTCTGGTCTGGTTGAATCCTGTTGGTGATATGATCTGTGATACGTCTGATATGGATGCCCAGCGGCGAGTTCTACTTAAAAATGACCTCTTGCTGTCTTTCCTTTCGCCATGTTTTCTCGACTGCCCGACTTGTCGCTTCGTCCAGACAATTGAGACACTTGCATACAACGTGCCCGAAACCACACAGGATAGCCAGGGATTTATCCATCTATCAAGCAGACTGAAAGATCGAGCGACCAACTTTTGACTGGAACTAAAGGGAGGAGAGTACCCCTGATACTGTACTGAGAGGCAAAGCCGGACGAAGAAGGAGACGCAACGATCAGCGGTATCAAGATGCGCATCCCACTCAGCTCACGGGTAAGTATATGAGGTCTCAAGTTCCTCTGTTCGCGAGATCTGCTTTACTTTGCCTCGCTCTGCCTCGCCTCGCTCTGCTTTGCATTGCTCTACAAGACCCAACATCTAACCACCACTGAACTGACAACTGGATGAAAAAGCAAACAACCTACACCAGAACCACGGTCCATTTACCCCACGGACGCCGACACGTCCGCGAGGAGGAAGAAATCATAGTGCGCATGCGTGGTCGTCGTCCGCGGTCGCCGTCAAGGTCACCCTCACCTTTACGCCCGCCATCACGTCCGACGTCGCTCGCACTACTTCCGTCGCCGCGGTCGTCATCTCCTCCTCCTAGACCCATCCTGAGAGACACGAGATGCCCCCATACCTTTTACGAAGAGAACCCCCTGCGTCGGAGATCTTATGAGCGCGAGCGGACTCGGTCGCGGTCGCGGTTGCGGTCGACTGTCCGAATCCGACCCGTGGAGTCTGTCGCGCGTGAGCAACTTGGTCTTCCCCTTCGTCTTCGTCTTCACTCTCCGCCACGGCCACGAACCGGCCGAGGGCTATTTGGCGAGCAACCCGGGTTTCGGGGCGGGTATTCGCCGCCGCCGGTGAGGTTGGAGGGGGGGTTCTCCAGCAGGAGTAGGAGTATAAGCAGGAGAAGAAGTAGAAGTCGAAATAGGAGCCGGAGGAGAAGTCGGAGTCGAAGCAGGAGAAGAAGTACGAGCAGACGAAGGAGGAGCCGAGGCCATCACGACCATCGCTGCACCCACCACGCACGATCCCGATCCCGATCCCGCTCCAGATCGCGCTCACGATCCGAGTCTCACGACGCCAACAGGGCGTTCACCACTGCAGGCACGGCGCTCACGATCCGCGTCCGCGACCGCGACCGCGACTCCGACAGCGAGGTGAGAAGGATCCTGGACGTGAGTCGTCTACGAGGTCGAGCTTGAATTCACTATCGAGCACGAGCCGGATACGGTAGGGCTGTGCATGGGCACCATGGGGCAGACGATGCGGCGAGAGCGAACAGCGGTGACGACAGAGTAGGGGAGCAATTCACGATCAGTGGCACCTCGTACTACTACATGCGCAGTAATCGACACCTGATTTATACATATATTCACACACCTATACACCATCCCTTGCTTACCTACCAACATACATACTACATACGGGAGTTTGAGGAGAGGAGGAGATTCAGTCTTGATAATCTCAAACATCATCGTCCAGGTCTGCACCAAGTTGAGTCAGGTCAAGTCAGGTCAAGTAATCATATCACGACATCTCCTGCCACATTCTCGCTCATACCAGTTTTCTTTTTGCCAACTAGGCCTGAAAGATTTACATTACCCGTGCCCCAAGACCATCAACAGGTGTCTTCCTTCTCGACCATATACCCCAACTCATACAGTCTTGTAGGGAGTCAACCCGGCGGGTGGGCAGGGGGACAGGGCCTTCAGAATGAGGTTCATTCACTCGGCCGACAAAACCTGTCTGGCTTCTCTGCTCGAGGCGGCGCAGTTATTCGCTAGTCCAGGAATTCGAGTCTAGTGCAGCAGGGTTTCAAAGGCAATCCCAAAGAACCGGCAATGCAGACGAGTCCTCCTGCACCAATCAATCGAGCGAGACGACGATGGAGCAGGCGAGTAGTGAACGACTTGCAGCCTGCATTGGTGCTGGAGCTTCTCTCCGATGGTCGGCATACGGTTGGGATGTGGAGATGTGCAGAGCCAGAGGCGGACCATTGACGGGCCATGGAGGCCAGCCGCCGCAGTGAGTTGCTTTATCGACGGTCAATCCTTCAAGGCTGCGCGAACGCAACGCTGGCCGGTATGCGAAAGCTCGCGCAAAACATTTTCTTCTTCGGCGCAACAAGTCGGACAAACCGAACCTGCATATCCAGCTCTGGATCATCGAGCTTCACCGGAGCTCCGATATGCTGCGATATTCTTTCACAGATCTCTTGGATCTCTTCTTCTTCAGAGGCAAATTTCGTCTGAAACAAGTACAGGTGAATCAATGGCAAACCTCTCGAGGTGTGTGGTTTGAATTCGGCCTCTCGACCGTGATAGAGGCCGCGAAATGCATCTAAAAACTCAATGGCGCTGGCCGGCAGATTCATGACATAGTGAGCGAACGCATTCGGTTCTTTGAGAACTTTTGCTGCGGCATCAGCCTCTTTGCGACGTGCTTGCATCTCTTCTTTGGTTAATTTCCGCGAAATCTTCACCTTGGAGGGCAGTCGTGCTTCTCGTGGAGAGTGCTGTAAGTCTCTGGTTGCGGTGCGGATGAAAGCCCTGCCGTCCTCGCAGGACGCTGACACGAAGTCGCCGACCTTGTTAGACTTGATGGCGTCTTCGAGGCTTTGGTACGAGTCGGGATTGAGATCGTTCGCCCTGACAAAGACCTTGCGTTTACCTGCCGGCACAGCAAATGGCCCAACACCGGCCATAACGTCACAGACAGCCTCACCCTCCTTGAACTGCTCAAAGAGCCGGGAATGTTCAGTACCTAGTCGAGAGTTCCAGTACACTTTCCCAAAGTTGAACTTGAACTCGCAACCAGACTCGTGGACGGTAACATCGAGGTCGTCTGACCCAGCAATGACTTCATATGGAAATGTTCGAAAGACGGATTCGGTACCAACATCGAACGTCTTGTTGATGACGGTGGTGATGTTGGGATTCTTGTCCACCAAGATCTGCCCAATGATGTATTTGTAAGGCAGATATGCCTCGCGCAGGTTCACGTGAGCTTTGGTAAGTCAGTACGGGGCATCAAGAACGTAGGTAGGGAGACGTACCGACGTGACCAACCTGAGCAAAACCTGCAGGGGTTTCCTTTTCTTCCTCAGGGATCTCAGGCAGAACTGCCTCGAGAATATTATCTGGCGGGATGGGTTAGATTCCGAACATAACTCTGCAGAGGTCATTCCTGACCACTCACGTACGCATAGTCCAGTCGTCATATGTGAGTGTCAAATCGTAAGGTCGCAAGCTGGCCAGTCGTTCTTCCACCAGCCTCGAGATAGTCTGTGACCATGTTTTCGGCTCTACACAATCCGTCAACAAACTCCCTCCCACGAATCATGGAGCCGTGCTCCTACGCACCGTTGGCGTCAATCCCAGGCCTGAGCAGAAGACACTTCGCTCCCTGGCCGACCGAGTCGTCATCACGCAACGGCTTAATCGGACTGACTCGGAGCAAGTCCTGCGACTTTTCGAGTTCCCTTCTAATGGCCGTGATCTGTCGGACATCCGGGATCGTGGCGGCGGCCAGAGGCACGACTTTGCGGAAGAACGACTTGTCCAGCGTCTGCATGGACCGGTTGACGGGCGGCAGGAAAATTTTGGGCAGGTCTGCGGAGTTGAGGTTCATCCTTCTGATTGTGGCATTGGCGATTTCGGGTGGAGTGGTCGAGAGGAGTCGACGTAAGAGGCTTGCCATGCGATGCTCGCACTGGAAGCTCTTGGATTTCTCGTCAAGATGGTCGATGAACTGTATGGACGTGCCTAGCAAAGAGATGCTGGTTTCCTCTCATCTTGATGCCAAGGCACTAACCATAAAGGGGTATTACGGTCGAGCACAAGAGCCAATGGTGTATTTACGGACAAGCGATCACACACTTCTGCACCTCCTACGAAAGACAGAAGCCAAAGGACTTTGATCAAAAGCACAATCAATGATACATCACGTCTTGGTCCACAACTTCAACAACGGTCCCTCTGACCCATTGACAGGATCCTGCACCGGCAATGCCACACTTTGTATCTCGTGTCTATAGGCGTCGCCAACCTCGTTCTTCCCCAGCTCGCTGCGCCACTTGGGAGCTCCCTGTCCAGCGACGAGTGTGAGTGTTCGATGGAGAGGCGCGCAAAGAATATTCCTCGAAGAACGGATGGGAAGGGTGGCGGCTATGCATACCTCTGGGTAAACGCCAATGTATCTGTAGTCGGTGCTGCTCTGGAGACAGCAATGGCCCGTTCCAGCCGGGAGGACGATGACATCTCCGGCGTGCACCTCGATCTCCTCGCCGCCCGAGGTGTCGTTCGTGCCGCATCCGACCAGTATCCTCGATTCGCCCTGGAAAATGCCTGTTCAATGCCCCCCCACAAAAGGGATTGACATGGTCAGCACCGCGAAATGTGCTACGTTGAACTCCTGGCTGATCCTGGGGGAAAGGGAGAGGTCTCCTCTTCTTACCATAGCACTCGTGCGTATTGGGATGAAAATGCCTGTACGCGATATGTCCCCAGGTGCCTTTCTTCTCCCAGGCGTGCGATTCGAGGAACTCGGTTGTTTTGGCCTCGGAGAGTGGTAGGGGCAGACAATCGCGATAGATCAGGACTGGCATGTCATTGTTGGGGCAATGCTTGTTGGGTCCGAGGTAATATGTCTCGGGCTCGAATCCCATGGTGAGCGTACTATGTTGGTGTCTATCATATATCTCAACCTCTGGAACGGTGTGGTGGACGACTGGGTTCAGCCTAACGAGATTATGTACCTCGCATAGGATGTGCTAGACAAATAACTTTCGAGAAGAGGATCGTAGAATAAGTAATATAGCATCGAGCATCATCGGCCTCGGGGGAGTTTTCGGGGGGGGTCTGGATGAGTTTGCTGTTCTAAGTAAGAGAACCCCGCTCCTTTAACCACCAGGTTCACGACACTTACATGCACGGCTCATGGCTCTCCACGACTATTAGATAGGAATAAATACATCAAGTATACTAGCGCTCTGAACAAACCTCTTAACTGAATGACTCTGTGGCCCTCGTGGCTTTTCACGCTCCCAGCTCTTCCCTCACTTGGTTGGTGACTGACACACTTTACGCGCCACGCGTTGAAGTGCATTGCAGTGCAGCCATCATGACGTCGTTGATATCAAGGGACAGTGGCTTGCCTCCTCCACCACCACCAACACCGCACATCCTCATTCCTCTGCCGCGACACCAGACGATCTATCCGGGTGCCTATTGACCCTCGCTTACAAAGTCCGGACAGGATCGAGAGCTCTTGAAAATTTGGGGAGAAAGACAGAGCCTCAGAAAGGGAAAGCGGAACTCAATATTAATGGCCAAGCGCACTCTCGATACATACTTTGTATCCTCGACGACGTCGAACAAAAAAGCACGCACTGCTGCTAATGACTCGATCGGAGAACCTGCAGATACAGACAACAACTCCCCCGCGAGACGTGTGATAGGAACGACAAATCACCCCACATATCCCTGGCCGATCCCTCACCTGCCCGTCCACGTCGTGTCGGAAATTGAACTGCTCGTCACGGCCCAGGGCAGAGAGATCCGGGACCAGCCACACCTGGACCTGGTGTACTTCCAGCCGTTCATCCCGCGATCGATCGAACGAGACGTGTTCAATTTCCTGCGCGCCGAGCTCTTCTTCTACCGCGTCAAATACACCATCAAGCGGTTCGGCAAGGAGACCTTGATCAACACCCCGCGCTTCACCACTGTGTTCGGCATTGACGAGACGAGTCGCTTCGTGGATGGTGATGGCAACGACGGTTCGCGGTCGCGCATCGTCGAGGCGTCGGACCCGTCAAAGCCCGTGCGCAGGGACAAGTATAAATGCCGACCACGGCCGATCCCGGAGTGCTTGGATCTGCTCCGCAGAGTGACCGAAGCCAACACCAACACCCAGTACAACTTCTGTCTGGTGAATTACTACGCCTCCGGAAGCGACAGCATCTCGTTCCACAGCGACGACGAGCGTTTCCTCGGCCCCGAACCCGCCATCGCGTCGTTCACGCTCGGCGCAAAGAGGGATTTCCTGATGAAGCATAAACCTCCCCGGGACGGCGAGCCGAAGCTGGAGACCAAGGACATCAAGTTGCCCCTGGCCAGTGGCGACATGGTCCTGATGCGAGGTCCCACGCAGTCGAACTGGCTACACAGCATCCCGAAGCGAAAGGGCGGAGAGGCCGACAGAGGTCGAATCAACATCACCTTGCGCCGGGCCATGGTTCCAGCCGGCACGGAGAACTACTACCGATACAATGTCGGAGACGGCGGAGTGTACAGGTGGGACAGCGCCAAGAAGGCAATGCTCCCCTGGCCGTCAGGGGGACACGGTGCCGACTGACAAGCCACCTCATTGCGTCTTCCTCTTCCTCCTCTTGCTGGCGTCAAAAATGGCCCTGCCGACGATACTCGTGATGGAGCGATAGACGGTCTGGCCTTCGAGGGTGTGCGTCGTAACGCCAAAGACGACCAGGAACAGGATGGAAAGGATGCTGACCACGAGGAAACTCAGCCAGTACGTCTTGAGGCTGTACTTTTCGGCGATTTCGGGGAGCTGGATGGAAAAGTAGGCGGTCATGAGACTGACGGGGAGGAACAGGATGGTCGCTTTTGCCAGGAGGATCGTGGTCCGGGTGAGCCGCTCGACGGCCTGGGATTCTTTCAAGGCCACCAGGTTGAAGTTCTGCGTTTGCGTTTGCGTTAGTGGCGGATATTGAGAGGGAGAGGGAGAGGGAGAGGAATAAGGAAAACACCCCCCTACCATAAGCACAAGTGACTCCTTCTGCTTGATGCACTCGTCGATCTCGGTCAGCGCATACAATCGAATCCGGCCGAGAAGCCGCTCGAAACGTGCCACGGCGGAAAAGCTCAACTTGACATTCGACCTCGAGTCATCGGCCAAAAACCCCTCCTCGTACGGCGCCAGCTGCGACGTGGGCGTGTGGTGACCAAGCTTCAGATCGTGGTTGTGCTCGTGGAACGTGCCCCTCGGCTGGAGCAGGAGGCTGTTTGCGTCCATGGCCAGCCGCTGGCTGTGCAGCAGACGGGACACGATCCACTCGTAGCTCTCGTACATGAGCTTGAGGACGGTGAGCTGGGTGCCGATCTCGTGCACCTTTTTGACGTGGGACACGTCGGCCGCCTTGAACATGAGCTGCTGCATCTCCTCCAGCTCGCGCCGGTACGGGTGGTCCAGCCGGGCAATCAGCCTGTAGGTCGACACCCAGTCGTCGAAGAGGTAGTAGAACAACAGGCTCGCCGCTTCCTTGGGGTCGTAGCCAGCCGCTGTGTTGGCGGAGGAGGAGTACTCGTTCCACCGCACGCGCACCTTCATGAGGGCGTCGCGCGAGCTGTCCTTGTTGTGCTGCTTGGAGAGGTGGTGGAAGACATTGAGCACGTTTCGTCTGGACACGTGGTGCGGTTCGTTGGGCGGAGGGCGTTCAAACACAGACACGACGGTTCCGTCGTCACAGATCAGTAGAGACGACCATATCCTCTGGCCCGGCGGTTTGCTGCTATCCTTCTCTGCATGTCGTGACGTGTTGCTGGCAGCGTCGTCCTCAGGAGGTGCACCACCGTCGTCGTCGTCGTCCGCAGTCGCTGTGTCCTTGGTTGGTCTAGGTAGAGAGTACAGGGCGTTGAAGCCAATGTAGATATACCGACGACCAAAGTCGACGGAGCAAAAATGCCACAGGTTCCTGACCACCCTGTGAAACGTCAAGCCCTCCAGATCCCTCGGGTCGATGCCTGCTTGTTGGTGTTGGTGTTCCAACAAGGGCGTCGAGTGATGAAGAGGCACACCCTTCTCGACGTCGGTCGTCGCGGGTGGTGGTGGTGGTGGTGGTGGTGGAGTTTTCGGAATCTTTTGCCGCGCAGACGTCGATGACCGCGAAGTATTATCCTCGCTGTCCGTCGAACCCACCACGCTCTTCTTCCTCTCTCTCTCGTGGTCTTGGCCTGGCGACGTGATGGCCTGACACAACAGGCCCGCCAGCCGTGGAGACAGGTCGTACTTCTTTGCGACCTCCTCGATGATGGGCTTCTGGGACTCCGAGGCCCAAAAGTTCATCCACAGGGCCTGACTCTGGCTCCCGTTGCGGCGGTCGGGTTGCTCGAGCCACGCCAGGGCGGCCTCGCGGTCAATGTCGACGGCGCATCGGGCCTCGGTGCTGTCGAAGCTGACGATGAAGTTTTCCGTCGCTGCGTGCTGCAGTCTCGCCTCGCACGTGTTGAACGCGGTGTCGTCGTCTAGATCGTATACCTGTTGGGGATGCGGATGAGGCTGAGGTTGAAGTTGTGGCTGAGGCTGCGCCATGGCGACCCCTTTGCTTGACTGAAGAGAGAGGGCGGCGGAAGACAGATAGATATTCTACCTTACAAAGATCCCTCTACCCTAACTTGTCAAGAAGAAAAGAGTATGTACAAGAGAAAATCCAAAATAAAAGAGAGACACGAGATCAATAAGAACCTCGAGGGACGTGATCAGGCGGCTCCATGGCGTTGGCGTAGGCACCGCACGCACGCACGTAGGGGTCTGCGACTGACACTTGACACGGCCCTCAGCCTCACAAAGCATTTTGCACCAATCAATCCCCAATTCACTGGTGATTATTCGCCAGATTTGCCAGGTCCTTTGTCGCCCATGTCTCTTAGCGGGGGCGGAAAATGAAACCCACGAGACCCCCTGCATACGGGAACTTGGGGGGGTGGAACGGAACGAATCGTAGGGTGTACCCCGTAAAGTAATTTAGTGGGTGGTGATGGTGGTGGGTTTGTAACGAAAGGTGCGTGTCCTGGCTCGATCGATACTTTGATATAGAAAAACCTTGCCACGAGACACATGCACACCACACACACACACACACAGACAGACACACACAACACAACAACGAAAGAAAAAAAAAAAATAGGGATTTCTTGAACATCTTATAAAAGACCTCGCTAACCCAATTGTCCTTTCTACAATTTCGGTATGGCAGGACCGCCCTTCAACCCTGGCGCGGCACGGACTCTCCCACGATACTTGTCCTCGATCGCGTCGGCCACCTCATCACGTTCCAACTCCTGAAGAGCCTTGCCATATTTACTGGGACTTGCCAGCGTCCAGAGACCGCCCTGGGCCTCGCCCTTGAGCATGCCACAGGGCCAGTTGTCGAAACTGCGGTCGTGGATCGAGCGGTGAATCCGTTCAAACGTGTTTTCCATCGGCCAGGCCTCACGATCATCCATGATAATCTCTCCGAATTTGTCCTTGATGGCGCCGATGATGCCAGCGCCGGGCTTTGGGGCAAGCTCGCCGTCCAGCTGACTCCAGGTTTTGTTTGGGTTGGGCTTGAGTCGGTCCGCCAGCAGGTAGTATTCATTCGGGTCGTCCGGGTGTTCGGGGTCCTCGTCAATGAATGCTAGTTTCTTGTCCTTGGAGCATTGGGCAAGCATCCAGGCCAGCGTGATGTCGGCCCCTCTAGGGTCATCCATGCCGCCACCGATGTCGCTATGCACTCCGGAGAACCAGACCTGCTTCATCACTTGAAGACCGGATCCTTTCTTGGGCCGGTACAACTGCGACCCGTTGCTGGGATCCTTCGGCCACTGCCACAGTGTCGGGATGAAGGGGATGCGGCGCTCGTCCAGCGCCAGGGCGTGATATGCAAATTGGACCTTGGTCGACAACTCGGCATTGTGGAATTCAATCTGTTCGCCACCGAGTCCCTGTCCGTGAAACGCCACAGTGTCCCAAACCCCGACGATCTTGATCGCTTCTTTTGCATTCTCGTTCAAGTCCTTGCCGATCAACTTCTTGAGGGTGGGAGAAAAATCGAAATCTGGTTTGCTGGATGGATCCTTGTAGTATTCCTCGTAGACTTGCGGGAACCAGTCCATGCCGCGTTTGGTCAGGAGTCCAAGCTTGGTCACCAACCCAGCGATGGAGCGGGCAGTATAGGCCCCGCGGGAGAAACCAAAGAAGAAGATCTCGTCTCCGGAATTGGGGTCATAGTTGTGTGCTAAGAAAGCATACGCCGCCCGGATATTGGCAGACAGTCCCGCGCCATAGACACCTATTTGGTCAATCAGAACCTGTCCATCCCGTACTTGCAAGACGAATGACAAGATGGGGGATGCCTCATTGCTAGATCTGCGGGACTGCAAAAAGACAAATGGCTTGAGGTGTCACGTAAGAGAACAGAGCAAAGTCTCACCGCCGCGGATCCTGTCGCCGATTCCTGTTCCCACGCCAGGTTGATAGTAGATAATCTGCTCGACCTCCCGTTCTACACCATCCTGGCCTTTGACCAGAGCAACAGGACTGATGGCTCTAGCGAAGCGGGCAATGTTGGTCGGATGGCTGGGATCGCTGGTATTCAGGATGCTTTGCCACGTTCCTACCGCAACAATGAGAGTCAGCCTCTGAGTTCGACATCATCATCAACGGAAATGTAATGGGGTGGGAATAGCCCCCTTCGTCGAGTGACAGAGTCTTGGTCTGGAGGAGGAGACAGGATATACCATCGCAAAGCTGCAAGTCGCCGTTAGTCCATCCATACTGAGCCATGAAACAGCACTGCTCAAGCAGTCAACTTACCACAATGAGACGTTTGTAATTGGCAGGTGACCGGCCCATATGGACTCTCTGTGTCAAAATGAATGCTCTCGTAGAAAAGGGAAAGGTTCCTGTAGCTCTCAGTAGCACTCAGCACCCAGCAGCAGCGAGGAAGGGAAGTTGGTCAGCCTCTTATACATCAAACACGCCGAACAGTGGCTCGACGCCTTGGACAAAGAAAGACGCCCTCATGTACGATGGCCAACTCCAACTTCACCGCACGGAACCTGCCATCAGGCTGGCGAAAGTTCAGCTCCAGCAACATGGATGCCTGAGCACCAAGAAATATCTCTGGGCTGGCTGAAAGAGCTGCCTGCCATTGGTTGCATCTGACACCTGGACGTGTGACAGAACGAGGGGCAGGTTCAGCTGTACACAAAGAATCCAGGTCGAGACCCTGCCGCGTGATTGATCCTGTCATCCTGTTCGTATGTGTCGAGGGGACTGACAATCAAGCGACCGTGTGATTCCAACGTGATGGATGATTGGTGAAAGACGCCATTTCTTCGGACTAGAAAACCCTCGTGGGAACCTGTAGTATACATCTGCAGTCAGACTGTGGGATGAAAGTGACAAATGTCATTATGAACTAAATCTCGTAGCGAATCTCGACCATGTATGTTGATACAAGGCTCCAACGCTGAATGCTTTTGATATTCGCAAAACACTCCGACCATGGAAGGGGAAGAGAATTGACTGACAGCTCGCCATATGCAGATAGACCAGCCCACGCAATGGCAATCGCCTCCAAGGTGCCTGAGAGCCAGTCACTTGATTGGATGTCCAAGTTTGACACTCTTCCAGCTATTTCCAAATAACCCTCAATCATATTCCTCCTCTCGAGATCTCCCATCAAACCAATTCCGTGCCCTTTTTAGACTGAATGTCCGTCGTGGCCTCGGCTCTTTGTATGCCTCTATACCAGAATATCCCTTCCTGGGAGGGGCCTCAAACTCATCCCCCTGGTCATATGTTTGTCTGAAATCTCGCCCGATGATGCCGTTGCCTCTCAATTTCTGTGGGATCCCATAGGGTTGCGGCTCAGAGGGTGAGATCCCTAGGACGCGTTCCTGCTTGCTGAGGCGGCGCTGAGGCCTATCCGGAGCACCATGGGGATCTGTCACGAACGCCGCTGACGATGGAGCAACATAAGGTTGGCCTCTTTCCACTGCTTGGACGGAAGAGAGCTGTTGACCAGAGTGGTTGCCTCCAGTACTTCCCACCGGCATTTCGCCCCCACGAGTTTGACTACCACGACCAGATATCGTCAAGGAGCGTCGGACGCTGGAATGGACACCCGGCTCGAGACTGTGACTTGCTGGTGGGCGATTGTCGGTGTCATAAAGCATGTCGTGACTTGGGGGACTGGTCATGTTGTGCACCATCTGATATTCAGCATTCCGGGGCTGTGACACCGGGTGATGACCCAGAGTGTTGTTCTCCGCGCGGTATTGTTGAGATTGTCCAGTTCCATTGGCCTGAACCTGAGGTTGGTCTTCGGTGTCATCCTCTTCATCGCTCGGGTGGTCTTCCCTTCTTTGTCGGCGGCTCCCAAACAGACTAAATCTTCGACGAGGTGCCGCTCCTGCTCTCGGGGCATACGAATCTTCTGCATAGTCCTCATCGCTTTCGTCCTGACCCCAATCTTCTTCTTGGTTGCCGGGGGCTTTTGGCATCCTCCTACCAATGCCAAATCTGTTTAATAGAGTGGGTTTTCTTTGCATTCCACTGGCCTCGTCAAGCTTTTCCCGGTCAGAGCTACCGTCGTACCAAAGAGCTGGAACAAGCAGCCTGTAAGGCACAGTAATTCCCGACGGGTCTTTTTGATTGACTTCAACATTCAAGACTACATCGAGACCGCCTTCCAGATTCACATGGTCATTGACATCAATTTCATTACCTTCGGCATCGATGGCGGGTACGTTTCCTTTCCTAGCGGCTTTTTCTGAGAAATTGGTAGGACGGCGTTTGAATGTGCCTGGCCGCACAGGTACACCGCCAGACGTATGGTCAAACGAGGAAGCTCGTCGACTCGGAAGAGCCTGAAACTCGCTTGAGGCTTGTCGCGAGCCGCTCGCGTTTCGTTCTTGGGCCAGCGTCGGCCCTCCAGATCGTGTTGTCCCATCGTGAGAGGCCGAACGACCTTGATCATATATTGCGTCACGATACGATGTAGGAGGCGCTTTTCGCGAGCTGAGTCGGCGGATGAGAGCTCGCGGATTTACATCTGCCTTGGTGAAGGAGAATCGTCGAGGGCGAGCTTCTGGACTTTCCTCGAAATCTTCATCTTCGAAGACTGCCGAACTTTCGGATGGCGAAGGAGGAGGGGTCGAGCCTGGAATATACTCCTGGATCGAACACCAGTTGCGTCGAGGTAACAATCGTTTATTATTCCGCTTCTTGTCATTCACATCATGCGTGAACATAGGGATCATGTCTTCGTCCGTGTAGTGGTCTAGGTGATGTACTTTGTTCCGTTTGTTCAGGATATCGGCCAACATGTCTGATGGTGGAGTGTTCACGATGGCCGAGGATACCACATTTGGCATGTATCGGTGATCTTTGTCCTTTGGAATCTTCAGTTTCGGGTTGGAATGAAATTGGCCGATCGCAGCGAGGTGCACGTCGCCGCTCAAAACAGTGATACGACAGGACTTTTCCGCCGCAAGATCTTGTAGGTCTCTGACCAAATCGTTACGCTCATGTTTGTGGTTGGTTGCAGTCCAGTGATCATCGAGGTCATCGAGAATCTCAACTCCGCCGTCGAACTTGTTGAGAAAGCTGCCTTTCAGGATACCGGCTCTCCCCAACGCCTTGACCGGGTCCATAAGTCGACTGGTAAGGACATTTTCCAGCCAAACCAGGCGAGGATAGGCGAGGGGAACACCCATCAAGATGATGAGGTGCTTTGTCTCGCCTTCGATGAGTTCTTTGCGGCATCTATCCAAAACAAAATCCAGGGTATCAAAGCTCAACACCTCACTGCGCTTTCGTTCCGTGCGGCAGTCAAGGCCCAGAAATGCAACATGCTTCCCCATGTGCATAAACACACTTCTGCTGAGTTGCTTGATATACGGTCCCGGCTGTCGGCCCAAGACCCAGCTAGGCTCATGTGCAGTGGTCTCTTCCGGGACACTCTGATGCTGGAAGAGCATGTAATATTTAAACGCCACGTTACCAAGTCCGGAGAACACTGGCGTCTCCATAAAATGATTTGGATAGGAGCCAAAGCCATCGATAATGTCGTGATCGTCCCATATATTCACCATCGGGATCTGGCCAGCAGCCATACTGAACAGGCCTTGAGAGAACCACAGGGCATATCTGTTCAGATAGAAGCTTTCGAGTTCTTCCTTCATTTCGTGTGTAAATGGAGCGTGATGTTTATGAGCTGGGTTCCTCATCCTGGTCCATTCGCCAAAGTGTTCGGTCTCGAGCATGACACGGTCATTGTATATCTGGTCGCCGCCACCTATCATAACGTGGAATGGATGTGACTGATGTGTGTTGAGAACGTCCCTCCACATTGGATCAGGTCCGCTGAAGCTGTCTGGATTGACGGAGAGGCTGAACCCGTTGCAAGAATGAAACATAATGTGCATGGTCTGACCGCGACCAGGCACCCAGAAACCAACCGAAGGACCACGATTGATGCGATAAGCGATGTGTTGTTGCTCGTTGGCGAGTTCTATTTCGAGATTAAAGCGCCAAAAGGTCACATCGCGGTCTGGATCTGCATAAAGTCGAGCCCCAGCCACTTCTTGATATCTTCCTATTTTTTCTCCGTCCGTATCGAGATTGCGGTTGTTCGAGAATGGAACTAGACCTTGCGGGCCATTATGCTCCAGCGGGCTAGGAGAGCTTTCGAAGAGGCCGTCGTCGTTTTCGACCTGTGATAAATCCTTTCCTTCTTCCAGATGGTCCACGGGTCTAACATACAACGCCCTCCCAGTCCTTGAGAGCTTCGTCAAGCCAGCAATCGGGTCAACATATTCAGGTTGAAGTTCATCTGTGGTAACGTGGTGGGGCGGCGGAGGCAGCAACTTCTGTGGCTTGCAAAACAGACGTAAGATCGGCGCGGGATCGTAAGAAGAATGAGAATTCTGGGTCACAATAAGGACGCTTCCTCGCCAAAATTCACGCTCCTCTCCACTTTCACTTTTCTGTCTTCTCATGCCCTTGTAGCGCAGCAAAGGCCCGCACCGAAGATAGAGATTGGGCTTGAACTCGGCGGTTTTATCGTCGATATGGTCACCTGCTGGCTGATCTGCCACTTTCGCAGATCTGCTGCGTCTGCGGCTCGATGAAGCCGCTGTCTGTTCCCACCAAGCCTTTCCCCTGTCCGCTGGGTTCAGTGGCTCAGGAGAAAAGTCGATGGTCGTAAGCCTGGCTGTTCCGGCTTCTTTCCACTCATCGACGGGTCGATTGTTGAGCGGCTCTTTGAAGGACACACTGGATTTTCGTTGTCTTTGGCGTATCACATCTACTGGCTTCGCTGGAGGTGATTGAGGACTGCTTGGGTGCGGTGAAGACTGATGCCCTAAGCCTATTATTGGTGGTGTCTGTGGTTGCTGTTGCATTTGCGATATATCGTTTCTTAGATCAGCGGCACCTTGATTGTGTTGTTCCTGTCTGCGAGCTGGCGTAGCTGTTGTGGTCGGCACAGGTATTCTGCTTGGTGTCCTGCCCGCCGAAGAAATCCTCTCATCCACGTCTTTTAGGGGAGCTTTCTGAAGTCTCTGTGAGCCACCTCGCCCGAATCTGACGGGGTCTGACACCCCGGTGAGTTTCTCCAATGCTGCTTTGTGAGATGCATTTCTCTGTCGTTCTGAAAACTCGTCCCTTCCCGCGAGGGGTGCAGTCTGAGTATCAATGGTGCGAGTCCGTGCTTGCCCACCCAAAGGCTCAACTTCTGCGCCCACCTGCGGTGTTTCCCGCTGTTTTCCTGATCGAACCCGTTCCGATTTGACCGGGACTTCCTCGCTCGCTACACGAGGTGAGTCGAGCGGTCCATCTTGAGCTGGCTCACTGACTCGCCGATTCTTACTGCCTGACTGGCGGCGTTGAGAAGTATTAGCCGGTTGTAGTGGGCTGGAGATAGTGTACTCAAATGCTGGATGGCCTTCTCCCGAAAGGCTTCGTACGTCAGGCCGATGACTGTCCACAGTTGTGCTATGCTGCAAACGCTGTCTCTGAGTGGTGCTAAGATTTCGAACCAGAACCGCATCTTCTACGGTTGGCACTTCCTGATCGGTTGCCCGCTCCCGTTTTGGTGCAGAGCGTGTGGTAGAAGCAGCGGGTATGGACACCAGACCAGTTCCTCGAGGAGCTGCCACAGCCTTTCGAGCTGGTTTTGGCTCACGCTCTCGCAGTAGCATTTCAGCCTCCTGCACTCTCGCGCGCTTTTCTTCCTTGCTGATATCGTTGAGAGTGACTTCCAGTTTTTGTAGAGGCGAGCGATCTGGGGCCCAATCCCTTCTATGAGCTTCGTCTCGGAGAGCACTCGATCTGCTGACAGACGATACAGGCTCTTCCACTCGGCGCGAAGTCTCAGACGTCCGACGAGCCTTCTGGTCAGATTTTGGCTCGTTATAGGAGGGTTCGCGAGTAGACTCAGTGTTCCTTCCCGGTGGATCTGCAGCGCTCAAGCCATTGAGGTCCGCAGTGTTTAGTCTCAAACCATCGGGCGGTGCGGGTTTTCGAGAGACGCTGGGCATGGGTTCCCGGCGCACTGGCTCGGATACTATACGCTGTTTGGGTTTGGCAGTTTCCTCAGGATATTCATCCTCCAAGTCCTCAAACGCTTCTCTATGGAAGGGTCTGCCCTTAGCTCTCTGGGAGAAAGAGCGCTGTAGACCGGGATCACCGCCCTGGCCGAGGCCTCGATAGGAGATGGGAGGTCCACGAGGCACTTCGGGCGCAGCAGGAAGAGGTTGTAATGTATTCTCCAGGTTCTGAGAAAGCGGGCGCCTGCCCTGTCCTCCGCTGTTCCGACGACCTGAGCCACTTTGTCTATTGCGCGCGGTATTTTGAGCGATCAGGGAATCTAGGGCTGGATCGTGGTAAAGGTCGACGGGATTCATGGTAGCCATAGTGGTTGGGTCGAGATCGAGATGGAGAATCAGGCTCCGACGAGACTCAAGTTCGCGGCGGGAGGTGGCCTAGAGATGGGCGCAAGTGACAGAGGCAGCCATGGACAGGTACATCCGTGCACTTGAGTGATATGTCGATAAGTCTGGCTTCGTCCAAGGCGATGGTCGAAATGAGACGCCCCGTTCAAGAGGATACAAAATGTTTGTTCCGGACAGTTTCACATGGGAATGGAGAAGAGCAATGTAGCACAACGATAATTGGACAGCGAGAAAATGACCTGAAGCCTCAATTCAACAATGTCATTATGTACAAGAAAAAGAGAACACTTTAAGCAGATACCGCAGATCGATTGACGCAGGAAAGGAAAGAAAGGTAGGTGCCCCGTAGGCCGGACACATGGTCTGTGTGGCTGGTAAAATGTGGTATTTTGGTCGACCACGTCAATCGCAGAGGCGAGGAACTCCAACTTTCAAGATCTCGCGACACCGGGGCCGGGTGGAGCTTCGGATTCGTCACAAAGTCCAGCTGTAGCCACGGCCCTTTCACAGGGAGAAATTGGTCCCAGGCGCGGGCCGCTTAGTTAGCCCTCCAAGGGGCCTGCTAATTGGCACTCATGGGGCTTTGTCGGGGCCAATGACCTTACCTATAAGTAACGGAATAGTTACTCCACCAAGGGACTACCACCAAGTTGGCACACGGCAAACTTACCAGATATGCACCCAGAAGCAATTCCTTGCGATGCGGGTGTAACTACATGAACTGCAGGTGTCAGGATTCCCATGATCCGGATCAATATTTTTGTATCCAACATATTCCAGAGAGCCACCTCTTACTCTATTTTTCTATGACCTTAAAGGACTGTTAGGCCCCTTCTCCAATATCAAAGATTACCATCAATCCCTAATAAAGACATAATCGCACTCCTTTACTTTGTCTTTGCCCATTCTCTGAACGCGCCAGTCCTCAATTTGACTGCACCCATTGTAATATCGACAGTGCCGGACCGTCAATCTGTCCCACGTTTCACAAATCCACCACCAGCACTGATTCTACGTGCGTACACTCACCGGATCGATCGCATCTTCTTCTGTTTCCTCAGTTGTGCCCTGAGATTTTCGCATCACCGAACGCAACGCTTTCTCAGTCGAGTCGAGTCGAATTGGACCACTCCGAAACCTGCACCATCTGTCATATATTAGGCACCGACAACAGTCTTTTACCTATCGTGTGAGGTATGCCTGGCTTTCTGGAGTGATTCCCCTTTATACATTTTATCATGCGGCTTCCAGTATGGCTTCCACTCCTCCTGACTGGGTTCACCAAAGCGACGCCGCGCGACTATGACCAGAATGACTACTTTGCCCTCCATCTCCACCCTACCGCGGTTCCTCAAGAAGTTGCGGATCGACTGGGGATAAATCTTGAAGGACAGATTGGGGAACTGAGCCATCATTATTCTTTTTCATGCTCGAAAAGCTCCTGTCAGGAGTTGGGGCATGCGTTACAAGAATTAAAGAGGAGAAAGAAGAGAAGGAGACGCTCCTTAGACGGCAGAGATGCATTGGCTCCGCGAGCAGAAACATCCCCGGATCTTACAGATGTTCTTTGGTCGGAGAAGCAAGAGTTGCGACATCGCCATGTCAAGCGAGTACCTCCACCTCTCCCGGCCGGTCGTGTACGCCAGGACGCCGTGGACCCAGAGTCTGATGGATCGTCGGAACAAGCACAGCAAGAAGCAATTCAGCGTTTGAACACCATCGCAGACACTCTAAAGATCAAAGACCCTATTTTTAAGGAGCAGTGGCACTTATTCAATCCTCTACAGCTTGGTCACGATCTGAACGTCACTGGTCTCTGGCTGGAGGGCATTACTGGTAATGGTACCATTTCTGCTGTTATCGATGATGGACTGGACTTGTACAGCAACGACCTCAAGGACAACTATTATGCGGAAGGTTCGTGGGACTTTAACGACAACTCTCCCGAACCGAAGCCGCGACTTTTTGATGACAAACATGGCACCCGCTGTGCGGGAGAGATTGCCGCTGTTAGAAATAACGTTTGCGGCGTGGGGATGGCCTATGACAGCAAAGTCGCGGGCATTCGAATTTTGTCAAAACCCATCACTGATGAAGACGAGGCGATAGCCATAAACTACCACTACCAGGACAATCAGATCTACTCCTGTTCTTGGGGTCCACCTGACGATGGCGCAACCATGGAAGCCCCGGGTCTTCTCATCCAACGAGCCATGGTCAATGGTATTCAGAATGGTCGAAACGGCCTAGGGTCTGTTTTCGTCTTTGCGGCCGGGAACGGAGCGGCAAGTCAGGACAACTGCAACTTTGATGGTTATACCAACAGCATCTACAGTATCACGGTCGGAGGCATTGACCGCGCCGGTAACCATCCCTACTACTCCGAAGCTTGCTCCGCACAACTAGTTGTGACATATAGTTCCGGCAATCAGGACGCCATCCACACTACCGATGTTGGGGTCGACAAATGTTACAATGGTCATGGTGGGACATCAGCCGCGGGCCCGCTCGTTGTCGGCACAGTAGCACTTGCACTCGGCATTCGGCCAGACCTTACCTGGCGAGATCTACAATATCTTTGCGTTGAGACCGCCATCCCCATACACGAAGACGACGGAAGCTGGCAGAACACGACCATTGGCAAGAGATTCAGCCATGCCTACGGGTATGGCAAAATCGACGCTTATAGATTCGTCGAGGCTGCTAAGACGTGGAAAACGGTCAAGCCACAAGCGTGGTTCCACTCACCCTGGCTCAGCGTCCAGCATGATATACCGGAGGGTGAGCAAGGACTGGCTGCGAGTTTCGAAGTCACCAAGGAGATGCTGAACAAGGCCAACCTGGAAAGACTCGAACACGTCACTGTAACCATGAATGTTGAGCACACCAGGAGAGGCGATTTGAGTGTAGATCTGATCAGTCCCAGTGGCTTGGTCAGCGAAATCGCGACCTCCCGTGGTCCAGACGGAGCCGCAGAAGGGTATGATGACTGGACGTTCATGTCGGTGGTTCACTGGTAAGTGAAAGCTTCAACAGACTGTTCCCGCCCCATTCGTGACTAATACCACAATAGGGGTGAGTCTGGGATTGGCAACTGGACTGTGATTGTCAAAGATTCCCAGAAGAATGAATTCAACGGAACCTTTATCGACTGGCGTCTGAATTTATGGGGCGAATGTATCAATCCACAGATTCAGACGCTTCACCCACTACCTGACGAGCATGACGACGACCATGAAACTGCCACCGTCATTGTTAGCACAACCAGTGTGGAGCCTGGCGCTCCACCTACTGGGCTTCCCACAACACCCACCGACCATATTGACAGGCCTACCAAGCCTAAGCCTACCGACGCAACGGATTCTGTGGTCATTGTCACGGCAACCAATACGGTGTCTGTGCCTGCAGCCACAGCGACAGTGACAGGTGAACCCAGCGAGTACTCAGATGGCTTCCTTCCTTCGTTTTTCCCAACCTTTGGTGTATCGAAGCGCACGCAGATTTGGATATACGGCTCAATCGTGTTGATCATACTCTTCTGTGTGGGCCTGGGAATCTATTTCTTGATCCAACGACGTAAAAGGCTTCGAAACAATCCCCGCGATGCATACGAGTTTGAAATGGTTGGCGATGCAGATGAGGATGAGCAACAAGGCTTGACTGCACGGGGAGGACGAGCCAAGGGAAGGGCTCGACGAGGCGGCGAACTGTATGATGCATTTGCGGGCGAGAGTGATGACGATCTCTACAGTGATGAAGAAATATATCAAGACACCCCAAGTAACGACACAGGAACGGGATCGAGGTCTGGGAGCTCTGATGGCAAGGAAAGGGAGAAATAAAACAAAGGCACAGGAAGGGGGGCGTTCAGGATCCCGCATGCCATGCGTAGGCTAGCAGCCGCAGGAGGCATTCTGGGCGTTTGTCAGACAGCCCATTTCTGTACAGAAATCTATCCTTATGACGCGTGCATTTACCCATCAGCAAAGACCTGGCCGTCCGAATTGAAAGTACTAGAAGTGGCACGATTTTGGCACAGAATACAGGTTGTATTGTGCAGTAGAAGCTGGAGAGTCCTTGGGTGACAACGAGATTGACTTTGCTTGGGTGCTCCAGTGCCTAGATCCGCCATCACCTAGAACCTGCGGGCACCGCGAGACATGAAATTTACGCGGCAGGCGCCCATTTGAGCCCTGAAACTGAGAGCGCAGTTTGACTTCACCTTGCAGCCGGCTTGACCAACAATCCAGAATCGATTCTCTCTCCTCACCGCGAATGAGCATATTCCTCACCGTCTCCCTAGCAGCATCATGAGCTTCCGAACACAGTGCATACCATGGTGGCCGGCTCTAGGTCGTCATTGAGGCGCCCTACACTACGAGGCCACAAAGCAACATCCAACAGTCCTACCAACAACGAACCACCACCTCTCCTCCCCAAATCTGGCAATGAAGGCATCACTGTCAGATCGAAACGGCTCCGAGCTGCCACTGTTGCCACGCCCGAGCACGACCTGAAAAGACGTCGGTTGTCGACCAACAAGGGCGAAATACCACAGTTACGTATCCCGCTACGCAGTCGAGGGGGTTTACCTAAAGCCCTCTCACCACCTCCCGCCGCCACCCCGACTGGAGTGCCTCCCACGCCTGCGGCCAATGCAAATACCACACATATCAACAACACCCCCATCGACTCGCCTCTATCCCCAGGCGAAAAATCACAATATGATCAGATCAGAATTATCGAAGAGAAGGCGAGAGCCGCAATCCGAGGAGGCGGTCTGTCCACAAACCATGAGGACCGGCGAAAATTACGCTCAGAGGATGGAGGGTCTCGGGCTAAAACGGAGCTTGCGCAATATTTCCCAGATTTTGAGGAGATGCTGAGTCTGAAGCCCCCCGATCCAGGTATGGCTTTGTTGTAACTTCTGGTTAAGACTCTTACTGACCTCCAGTAGAAGCTTTGACCGTCAGAACGAAGATCGTCTTGGTTGACGATACACCTGACTTCGAGCCGAGACAGCCCAAGTCTGACCCTTTTGGAGCGCACAAGCCGCTTCACAACACACAAGTCATCCGCCTGAACCCACCGGACGACACTGTCGGTGCTGACCCAGTCGACCCTTTGGGCGAGGATGTATACATCAAGATCCATGCCAAGGCTGAAAGGCATGAGAAGCAAATGAAGAACAGCGATAGGGAAAGAGCCCAGCACGAAAAATACCAATTGGAGAAGCTCCTTGACGACCTGCGAGGACCGGACTGGTTAAAAACCCTTGGAATAACCGGCGTTACCGAGACAGAGAAGAAGCGCTACGAGCCCAAACGACTACTTTTCATACGAGAAACCCAAGCCTTGATTGACAAGTTCAAAAGATGGAAAGAGGAAGAGAAGCGCAGAAAGATGGAGCGAGAGCAAGAGTTGCTGGAAGCAGCCGTATTGGAGGACCAAGAAGAAAATGAGGACGGAGGCGATAACGCGGAGACTGAAGGGTCAAACAACGGCTCGGGCGTGGAGGAGGGCAGTCTTGACAGTGCATCAAGCCATGCTCCAAACTCCAGTGAGCTTGATGCACTTGCATCGCAACAACTGATCGAGGAAGCAAAGATTGCCAACAAACGCAGAAAACCAACACCTGCACAGTGGCCCGACGCTTCGCCGCCGAAGTTGTTCACTTCCTTTTTCGATAAGCGACATCTGCGAGACGCAGCGGTCGCGGGTCGTCAGAGGGGACGGACCATTCTTGCTTTTGGTCATCCCATTCCCGACTTTTCGGAGGAAGAATTTGAGCTCCCGGACGACATTCTTACAGACGAAGCGATCAAAGCAAGGCAGCGATCTCATAGGCGACTGCGGAGAGGTGGCGAGTGACGATGAACTCGAATGAGCCCTGATGAAAGCAAATCTACGGCTCGTGACTTTGTACTGTACAGGATACACAAGAGGAATGTATGATGGGCTGGCCAAAGTTGGGACGGCGGTTGGAATACGGTTTATCACTGGAGATGGAGTTCCGACCCTTTTTTCCCATGCCAGGGGGGAGTTTTTTTTTTTGTTTTGGGTTGGAATTGAAGGAGTCGTAACTCAACTTGCTCAATCAGATGTGATTCATTTTATGCAGGTTTGGGAGAGAGTCCCAAGGAGGTGGTGACCAACTATCTGATGGCCCCCCTAACTACAAGGAAAGGGATCGGAAAAAGTACCTGATACTCTGTGTTCATAAGCACCACGAAACCTGAAGGATCAGAGAAGCCACAGTACGGAGAACTTTCCCCCATCTGCTTCACCTTTGTGACAAAAAGGCGCTGGAGGCTTAGTATCAAAAGCCTGAGAAATAATGCTAAGCGCCTAGTGCTGTCCCTCTAGTCGTAGTACGTGTTCAGTCATTAGTATAGTACGAGGAAATTACTCTGTAGTGGTGGGTGGGTTCGTCAATCTCCTATTATTATACACCGTTGCATCCACAGCACGAGTAGCACTTGTTTGCCACATATCCACGCTGGAAGACGAGTGATTCGAAACTATACCAATGTTATTAATCAGGTATCCATTGACTCGAGATGGACAAGTTGCTGGATACGCTTACTCTGCTCCTTGAAACGCTGAATCCTGTGTGTCGCATTATATGAGTAGCCAACATGTGGTCTGAGTGACCAGATGTACGAGTATAGATGTCCTCCGACCTATATAGCTATACTGCTTGCTTGACAATCATGTATAAAAACCGATCGAGTAACTGCAGGGCGCACGGACATAGAATTGCTTCATCTTACTCTGTACGGGTCCCATCATCATATCTCCGCCCAAGGTATAGAGGTACTCGTATGTAACTCCTCTGTAGAATCTCGCCTCCCTCTCTTAGCTCTCATCCATTGCCTCTTTTGATTTGCTCGTGGCACAAGCGAGACCGGGCCGAAAGTCTCCAAATTTGGGGGCCAAGGCTCAGCCGCAGCATATGCGCAGTCGAGGCTTGAGTGCTGCTGCGGAATTTCGTATTCACGAGGTCAAATGTGAATCCTTCTGGGGCACAGAATGCATCCGATAGGGAGACTGATGTCTCTCTTCCAGCCACAGATGATTTCGATCCTTTGATCCTCGCGGATCTGCCAAGTGGACCGGGTTCCTGTTGCACAGAAAGCAGGGCCGATAGTCTTACGGCCCATTCTCCCTGACTCTCGGACTTCTGTTGAAAGATATTTCGTTATTAAACGGATGGAAACCCTTACCTGCAATGCGGATTGCCTTATCCTCGGAGTCTCTCGTTCAATACCTCTCTCTTTTCTTTCTCTCCTTGAGCGGGTAGCCTTGTCTTGAACAGCGCCCAGCCTGAGGTCGCTGTGGGAGACGAGCTGATCCCAACAGCATCCATGGCAAAGAACGTCTGGAAAGCATGCGCCCTTGCAATCGCATTGGTCCAGGCCACCGTCGGTGCCAACATCGTCACCTCTCCTCCGGCTATCCTGCCACGAGCAACCGGAACAATACCAAAGGGTTCAGCTTGTTCTGCTGCATCCAGTGCTTCATCAGCATTCGCATCCGCAAATCCTGACCGGAAGAAAGTACACATACCTGCCGAACTCGCCTACGAATGCATGAAATCCGTTCCGAACTACCAAGAGCCGGCGATCCGCCTCCTGAACTCTTTGCGGACGTATCTCGAGTTTCAAAGCAGCAAAGAATATCTGCTGAACCCGCCGTCGGGCTACCTGTTTCCCGCCGTCGATCTCGATGGGGCTTTGAATAGTATACAAAAGAAGGTGGAGGCTGGCTTATATCAGAGTGAATATGACATGCAGGCGGAAATAGTTGCATTGTTGACTTCGGCACGGGATGGACACCTTTCGTTCCACATCGACTTGTTTTACTCCTTCACCTTTCTTCGCACTGCCGGGGATGGCCTGGCTACCATCTCCTCAGATGGAATCGAGGAACCACAAGTGTACCTGATGGGCAAGTGCAGCATTCTACGGTGAAACTTTAGGAGAATTCGACTAACAGGTGATAGATGATCTTGTGTTGTCGGATGAAGATACTGGCCAGCCTCGCCCTGTGACCGGATATGCTCCTTCCCCAGTCACGAGTATTGACGGCGTCGATGTGGTTACCTTTTTATTGACCCAATCTATGGTTCGCGCGGGTCAAGACCCGGACTCCCTATGGAATCAACTGACTCCCAACTTGGTTTCACAGCGGGACGACTCATTCCGGGCCTCCCTTTTTTACCCAGGGCCTTCAACCAACATTACGTTTGCGAATGGAACTACGCGCGAATATCCCAACGTCGCTGTCGTCAACATGCCTCTCGACGGTGTCCATACGGGGGAAGATGCCTTCTCCTCTCTGTGTTACGGTGCCTTTGAGACAGAGACGCTAATGGCCACAGCCACATCTACATCCTCTGCCAGTAGCACAACTCCAACCACCTCAGAGGCCTCTACAACAACCGAGGCAGCCCCAAGCTCACCTACCATTCCAAATTTTCCATATCCAGTGATCAAGCACAGCGCTGATTCGGTAGCTGGATACTATCTGAACGAGACCGGCCTGACCGATGTGGCTGTTCTTCAGATCCGAGAGTTCGAATCGGAGTCCAGTGCGGACGATTATGAAAGAGAATTTCAGTCAGTGATAGAAAAGTTTCTCGATGCAGCGGTCAAGACCGGGAAGAAAAAGTTGATCGTAGACCTTCAGGGCAATCCAGGTCAGTACTTGGTCGTGACTAACTCACTGGAGGTGTTAACTCTTATCCAGGTGGCTTTGTTGTCCTTGGAGCCGACACCTACGCCCAACTCTTCCCATCCATTAAGCCCATTGACAAGTCGAATGTGCGGGACCATCTTGG